TGTCAGCGAAGAGATAAGAAGTGTGACAAACCTGCATGACTCTTTTGGTCAATTTTAATAGAATGCCTATATCAGAGAATACGAACCATAAGGAAATCTGCGTGTAACATAGCCAGTTTGTTGATGTTTTAAGCGCTTATCTTCAACCATCATCTGGAACGCTTAGAGCAAAAGTTTAGGAAATAAAAAATATATATGAATATCGGTCGAGGGGGGATTATTATGTTTGAAAGGACCTAAATAAAAGCCACAGTAGTATACCGCTGTTCGAAACTCATAAATCGATAGAGATAAAAACAAATCCGGGTTACAAACTAAAACTGAGGGAAACGCATCAAATATAAGAGGAGAACAACGACACAACAAAAACACAATATTAAAATGTAACACACACAGAAACGAACTATAATATAACAATGTCCATTTTCCTGACTTGGTACAGGACATTTTAAGAAAAAAATGGTGGGTTGAACCTTGTTTTGTGGCATGCCAAACCTCCCGCTTTTATGGCAACGTCAAACACAACACCAAAACGACAACATCACATGACAGGACCACAATACAAATAAATGGGAGAACATATAGGACAAATAAACACACGAATAATAGCTAACAAAAGGTACTAGGCTTAAAAATCAATACGCCAGACGTGCGTCTCGTCCACACAAGACCAACACTTTAGCTATCCTGTCTTAAGTCAATTAAGTCGAAATTGGTTTAACGTAGTTTTGTCAATAACAATGAGTTGCATATATTATGGACAGTGCCAAAGCAGTCACTATTGGGCAAATGATACTTTCGGGACTAACAATCCACCAGCAGTGTATTCAACCCAGTGGAAGTAAACAAGTCTTACATACTGATTTTAGAAGTTTTGGTCCTCGGTGCTCTGCAGCTTTGTACTTGTTTTGGCTTTCAAACTTTTTTCATCTGAGCGCCACTGGTTAGTCTTGTGTGGACGAGACGCACGTCTGGCGTATTGGATTTTTAACCTGGTGCCTTTTGTTAGCTATTATTCGTGTGTTTCTTTGTCCTATATGTTCTCCCATTTATTTCTATTGTGGTTCTGTCATGTGATGTTGTCGTTTTGGTGTTGTGTTTAACATTGCCATAAAAGCGGGAAGTTTGGCATGCCACAAAACAAGGTTCAACCCACCATTTTTTTCTTAAAATGTCCTGTACCAAGTCAGGAAAATGGACATTGTTATATTATAGTTCGTTTCTGTGTGTGTTACATTTTATTGTTGTGTTTTTGTTGTGTCGTTGTTCTCCTCTTATATTTGATGCGTTTCCCTCAGTTTTAGTTTGTAACCCGGATTTGTTTTTATCTCTATCGATTTATGAGTTTCGAACAGCGGTATACTACTGTTGCCTTTATTTGATGCTTTCGAAGGTTAATAATCGTTCAGGGGACTACAAGAACATTCGTGATCAAGGATTGTTGGTAATGGAATAACGTGAGAGATTAGGGAAATGTACTCATTTTGAATTTGTTAATTTAGTTGGCCTTCATGAGATAGTCAATATTTTTGTGACGAAATTTGTCCTGATAAAGCTATATCTATAGAGCCTATGTACAGCAAAATGAAAATAACGCAACTACATTGGCTAATTATCCATTGTTTAAACCGGTTTTTAACAATGACTTAAGTGTTGGTGTACGCATTTGTAATTCTTAGAATGCATTTGATTCTGAAATAGATTATTTGTTAGGTGTATTTTTGATTTACTATTACATAAGAACATTATTTGTTTTACCCTACAGCACCGTATAACACTTATGTTAGCAAATGACAGATGGCTGTGTAATGGATGTTTGCACGAGATGAACCGTTATAATCTTAAGGTGTGCATTTCTGATTATTCTGTATTCTTTAGGAGTTACGGAATCCATAAACGCATACAACAATCGACATAATTCTTTTCGGGATATGTACTTAAATGGCGTACAAACGACAATATTGTTTGCAACGGATTCAGGACATCAGAAAAACTTTATAGAGAACAAATCGTTTTACGAGACTTTGAAACAGACATTAGTCATGCCTTTAAATCGTTAACCATTTGGACAGTAAAGTTTATATTAATTATCCTTGAAATAGAAGCTTTAGTAGTTCATTTTGCAGATATAGTAGTCTTTCCTGGCCTAAAAGACAAACACATTATCTTTCGAACATTGTCTTCACTCGATACCTTTTCAGACCTCTAAAACTGCTATTGATGTAATGGACACAATCATCATGCTTCTAGGAGCCAGTTTACTTAAGAGATAATGTATAATTCCTGAAAGATTATTAAGTCGAACCTTCTCCAGACATACACTTCTGAGAGTCATTAGGAGACAGTACCAAAATGACTTTTGTCAATCTTTCGACAACTTAATAGTTGTTTTTGCGATATATATGTTGATGATTGTCGACCTAGTAGACACTGCACATTCCCAAACAAATCGAATAGTCAACCCAAACAAATCGTATAGTCAATCCTTTGTTATTTTATACGGTCTAAAAGGTATTACAACACGTGGATGAGAGAAAAAAAAATAAAACTGATAATGTGCAAAATTCTTTACAAATTCAGATAATTTATCCTATGTAAAAGCTTCTTGAAAGCCAAATGTTGACCATACATTCACATTACTGTCCATCGGTAGACGCCACAGCTGGTTTACTAAAAAATCTGACAAACAAGAAACTTTAAAGTAAGGCGAGCTATCATCATTTTGTAGTATTTTTGCTTTTATCTTGACATCCACGTGTTGTTGCACGACTTTTAAACGTAATGTTATTTCACTGGTCTGAGCAATATTGTTATTGTTAACAATCAAACACCTCAATCCTCTATCAGACATGATTCGTCAACTATCTGTGGTGTCAACTCTTTGAAAGTATGGCAGATACGTTCGACTCCAATCTTAATTGATTAGAATTGCTAGTTTTTCCGCCGAAGGTCGGTGACTCTCTTTGGGCACTCCGACTTTCTCCAAAAAAAAAAAAACATCGGTCACCACAATATAGCCCATAGAGCTGAAAGTGGCGTTAAACACCAACAATCAATCCATCAATCATTGAAAGTAAAATGAATGTATGACACCGATTTGAGAGCTGCAACAGTCATTTTTCGGTATGAATAATGATTATGATTAAAATGATACGTTTTATGTTTATTCTAAGTGTACTATAAAATAAGGACCTCACCAACTAGTTGGTGGTGTCCTGTAGTAGTCACTCAGTCTCGTATGAAAAAAATCACAAATTTGGAGGAAAATTATTTTGTTCTAAGATTTCATCCGACATTTATATGTATATATGATAAAATATGTAAAATCTATACCCAGTGGTATTGTGAACTTTTTTGAGAAAAAAAATATTTCCTCTAAGATTTCAACGAACATTGATATATAGATGTGATAGGGATATATGTTTATTCCAAGATGATTCTTCTTGTCAAATTTGTGGTAAAACTGAGTTTTGGTTAAAAAAATATTCCGAAATGAACACCAAAGATTATAGTGCTTGGATTTAAACGACACTTAAATTCTATTATTGTAAAATACATCCCGATTTATTTCCTGGAAATTAAAATTTTCGAAAATTGATACCCAATAAACATGAATTGCTTTGTTTACATGAGTATTGATCACACAAACATTAACACGCGTGGGTTCCTTGCTGGTTGTCAGTTTTCTTGTTTATTTTCATCTTGAATTAGTTAGGCAAATAATTAGTGTAACTGGAATGGTTTACCCATCCGATCAACTGATTTCACCCTTGATTTTAGGGTAGCATTTGTATTGCCCAATCTTTTGTTTTCTGTGTAGTTTTTTTTTGTGGACTATCGTTCTTCCTTTTCCTTCAATCCCTTTTTTAGCCTCCCTTATGATTGTTTGAACTTTTATATTGGTTTTTTTCTGTGGCAGTTATGATAAATTGATAATTTTGTAAAATCTAAGATAGGTGTTTAAAAATATCATTCCTATTTAAATGCAATACAGATCCTGTGTCCCAGCTATGCTAACCATGATCTGCAAACGCTCCGTTCTACTTTCAGTTTTTTACGACCTTTCGGGGTTTTCTGGTTTTGTTAGATTGATAACCAACTTTAAAAATTTAAAGGCTGAATTTTCTTTGGCTGATGTAATAATTTCTAGAACAAAAAGTAAAACGGCGTGTTGTCAGATCTTTGTAAGCAAAGCTTACACATATGATTTGTGTCTTAATTAGACTGATTTTGATGCAACATATATAATCTGTAAAAGAAAGTTTAACTTTTATAGGCAGTAGTGCATCAAGTAAAATTATGTATATATTAACTTGATCTTTTTATTCAGTCCTCTTATGAACGAGAATAAACTTATTTGTTGACCCATATGCTGATTTCCGTCGATTTACAAATTTAGAAACAGCACGAATTCTTCAAGTGAAAATCGAGAATTCTAATGTGAGCAACAACGATATGGATATAGCTTATATTTTCGATTATGTGCTATCTCCCATAAGACAGTTACTAAACTTATGTTTGCTAACCAAAGTAACCAGTGGTATTTTTAATGTGTGTAGCTATCCGGGACAAGAAATTGTTGAATTGGTATTATGTTGGCCCTTTATAAGAATTATGCTGGGGGAAACCCAATGATGATTTATGTTAATATGTTCTTTACGAAACAGAGTTCCGCTTAGAGGCCATGAGAGCGATATCGGCACTAAGCTGAAAGTTTGTCTTGTCTGCTTGCTTTTGAATGCAATAAGTGATGATAATACTCATGCATATAAAATTATAACTGTGTCAAATGGGCGAATAGTGTTTGATGCAAATAGACAAAAGTTTGCTCAACATTGCTTATCTAAATTTATGGTTTCATTAGAGATTGTGTTGTTGTGGATTTTTCCTTTTCGTTTTGTCTTCAGTTTTATTCAAATTGATATGAAAAAAAGTATTTGTTGAAATGAAAACTAAATTTTAGTTCAGAATTAAGTTTTCTTTTTAATTTATAATTTTAGGGTAGTGTTTTATATAATTACTTTAAGCACGGAAAATTAGAACGATCAGAGGGAAGTTCGATAACAGAAGGAATAGGCCAAGGTCGATTAACAAATAATCTAAAAGATACGCCAATCGATGATGCTTTCCTGATAAAAGATACAGATGCAGTTGAAATGGTAAATATAAATATGACGTTTAAGGTGTCATTCTCTCACGGACACAGTTAATTGGAGATTTGAAGCGAGCTTGGTATTAAAGTTTGAATATTCATATCTGAAGCGACATTTATATGATGTCTATAATATTTTAAAGAAAGTTGGTGGAAAGCATTTAATTGTGCATGAATAACAAGAAAATATCAATTGAAAATAACGAAAATAACGAGTGTGAATCGCTTTTCTGGGTTTAACTTCACCAGGAACACACAAAACCCAAAAATGTTAAAGCAAAGAAAGTATAATACCTGAAAACGTGTGGAGTCATATGACCAAAAGGAACATAAAAAGAATAGCCAAATTCATTTAAGGTCACCTTTGCCCTCAAAAACTTCTTATTATGAATTAGAAGTTGATCAATCAAATTCCTTACGACAAGTAGATACGGAACCAATCAAAAGAGACGAGACAGATTAATGGACCGGCAAAAACTTATGCCTGAGGCAAGGACATTTTATGAACAAAAAAAGTCGACTTTATACCTTGACGTAAATCTATCAGTTGTTAAGGAAGGACTGTATACCTTGACGTAAATCTATCATTTGTTAGGGAAGGACTGATTTACACAAAGTTGTATGACAATCAGACTGATTTCAATTTCCCAATAATGAAAAAACTCATCAAATATACTAGGCTGATAATTTGGTACGCCTGACGCTCGTTTTGTCTGCATAATACTCATCAGTGGTGCTCGGGTCAATTTCTCTGTTCATATAATATACATACGATTCCTATCTATGATGTTTACATTGGACAGTTAAGTTATTATACAATAGGTTCAACAATTCTAAAAGAAAATCATGCATAATGATTCTCTAACGGTTTGAAGTATGCTTTGATTTAATCTGCAAAGAAAAGGTTAAAGGAACAAATTGTAACGAAAATTCAAAGATGCAGAAAATCGAAAAATACATCATCGAATATTAAGTGAAATGTCGTTTCAAATATTTCTATTATAATTTTTTTATCAATATAAACAACTATTTGACATGTAGATATATTTTAATGTAGGTATTTCGCCTGTTACATGAAGAAGGATTTTTTGTTGGTGCTTCATCTGGATTAAATGTAGTAGGGGCAGTTCAAGCAGCTAAGTTGATGGGGCCAGGCCATACAATAGTTACGTGCTTGTGTGATACAGGACAGGTAAGAAAACATTCTAAATACCAGCAGCTAAGTTAATGGAACCAGGCCATACAATAGTTACATCTTGTGTGATACAGGCCAGGTAAGAAAAAAGTAAGAAAATATCCTCAGTACAAGCTGCTAGGTTTTACAGGACCAGGCCTTACAATAGTTACGTGTTTGTGTGATACAAGAAAGTAAAGAAGACATTCTCAATACCAGCTGATACGTTGATGGGACCAGGCCATACAACAGTTACTTGCTTGTGTGATACAGGCCAGGTAAGAAAAAAGTAAGAAAATATTCTCAGTACAATCTGCTAGGTTTTACAGGACCAGGCAGTGTAATATTTACCTCCTTGTGTGATACGGGCCAGGTTACAAAATATTCTCAGTACAAGCTGATAGGTTTTACAGGACCAGTCCATACAAAAGTAACTTCCTTGTGTGATATAGGCCAGGTTAGAAAACATTCTCAGTACAAGCTGCTATGTTTAACAGGCCCAGGACTTACTTTTGCTAATTTCATCATTATTTTTATTATAACGGTAAAAAAGAGAAAAGGGAATACAAGATAGACAATTAATCTTATATTAAGGTAAAGGTTAGAGAAGGTATGGAAAGGGTGACACTGTCAGTTAAACAATGAAAAATAATGAATTTCATTTAGAGTGCTTGGCATTACTGAAATCCTATTCATAGTACCTAACTTGCATCACTCTTTTGCCGCAATTATTTTATACATTATTTAATATCTTATTAAGGATGATTTGTATGACACCTTAGAAATAACATTTGTAATGTTAATAAGAGAATAGGTATATATAAAATAGGGAAAAGGTAAGGGGCTACATGAAAGAAAAGTTGAAAGGGTTTAATTAACTTTGATATATATTCTATTTTAGAGATACTATGGAAAGTTATTCAGTAGGAAGGTCCTTCAAGAAAAAGGTTTGTAATTGTTGAAATTGTTATTATTAACTTTGTTTCGTAATTGTTTTAGTAAGAAATTTTAAATATAATTCATAGTTTCTTAGTATTCCTTATGTTCTTAAGAGATAATTGGAAATAAGACAGGTGTGGTTGTAATTGTCATTTAAACAGCTACCAAGAACAATGCTTTACTTAAATGAAACTTACTATCAATATTCATTGCTTAAAAAAAATACCAAACTCTTTCTTCTGCTTCCATTCCTCAAAAGAGTAATACTTTTTTTCACTAATTTACCGATGCAATTGTGATTTTGTTTATCACTGTGGAATATCTGTTCCACATATGACCACGGATATGTTTCAGGTGTCAAAGCTACAATTCCGTCCTCCATTCCTGGTTTATGACATCACTGAATGGACATATTACTTAATTTTAAAATTGCCACGCAATAGTCATGGTTATGCAGTTCCTTCTGCGCTAAAAACAACCGGTTTTTGAAAGGGGTTCGTGTTGGTCAATCCTTAGTTTTCTTTGTATTTTTGTTGTGTTTTGTGGACTTTTGTTTGTGTTTTTGTTTGTTTTTCTTCTTCTGGTCATTATTTTGTCTGTTCTTTTTCGACTGTAATTTTTCATTGCCTCCTTTATATCTTCTTACTTTTTTTGTTGCATCAGAGATAGTAGTTTACCTATGTTCAAATCCCTTTTGAATACACTAATCAAGTGAAAACAACTGAAGGAATCGCATCGAACTACTAAAGGAGCAAGACTGTAAGTGTTGACATGTTTAATGTCTCATGCCTATACCCACAATGTGAATCCAGACTCTGTCACGATGTAAATATAGGGGAAAAGATACAACCTGTATAGTTACAGAACAGACGACTATTCTGGTATCTAAGATCTAAGACCGCCAAACATGTCTCTCATAGGTTGAGACACGTGTACATCGTATCGATTAACGAATTCGAGATAGAGGCCGAAGACTTATGAAATGCAGATTCCATCTATTCTTCCTCATAACCCTCCTGGAGCAGTCTTTTGGGTCATGAGCACATCCCTGTTTAAAAAATTCCGTATAACGGAAAAATGTAGTCGCGTAAAGTATCAATTGTGATATGTAAAAAGTAAAATCACAAAAATATTGAATTCCAAGGAAAATTTAAAAAGGAAAGTCCCTAATCAAATGGCAAAATCAAAAGTTCAAACACATCAAACGAATGGATAACAACTGTCATATTCTTGACTTGGTACAGGCATTTTCTTATGTAGAAAATGGTGGATTAAACCTGGCTTTAAACCGTCACCGGCAGAGTTTATGTAACTACTAATAAATTTTAAGATGACGACGCAGAAACTAAAATCGTTACGTTTGTCATAGATATATATAGATATGATACATGATCTAAAAGTGAAATGAAAGAACTCCGGTGGTTGTCTTTGGTTCATGTCTGTCATATTTGTTTTTCGTAAATTGTTTTGTTATAAATTAGGCCGTTAGTTTTCTCCATTGAAATTTTTCATATTTTTCATGTCGGGGCCTTTTATAGCCGACCATACGGTATGGGTTTTTTCATTGTTGAAGGCCGTACGGTTGCCTATAATTCCTTACAACCACTTCATTTGAACTTTGGTGGATAGATGTCTCATTGGCAATCATACAACATCTCCTTATTTTTATACTGACAAGATGATTATTTCTTTATTATCTTTTAGAGGGTTTTGTAAGAGTTCTGACTCCTATGAATACAAAAACAATTCGACCAGTAAGGGTCCATATTGTGCCCATAGTATTACCGACGTTTTGTTGAAATACCCAATCCACGACGCTTGACAAATATGTTGTCTATTAAAAAGTCCTACATCTTAATGATAAGGTCTTCGGGGCATTTGTTATTGCAATCAGCGTGGTTACATTTTTTCATGACCTTAAACAAAAAATATAAATCTGCGATATCCACATTTGAAGAATAAGCACAGTTCAATATAAAGAGGTAGTTGATATTTCAATTGAACACGAAGAAGGAGTCAAGAATAGTTATGTATAATGTTTAAACATCAAATAATTTTATTGCAAAGTTTGTGTTTAAAATGTTTGGAGTAGGTATTAAAGAATCTTTAATATCCGCATGTAATTGATACCACTGGTTGATTATACCCCATCACAATATTTGTGAATGCCATCTTTTACTGTAAAAGAATGGTGGTAAGGATTTTTAAAAGATATTTAGTAGAACATCTAGACCAGACGTCTCTTATCGTTCTTAATAAGGATTTTTGTGCAATGACATTGATAAAGCCAAAAAACAACACAATAGATACTTGTATAACAGAGTATGATCAATATTTGTATATACATCTACTGTGTAACAAATCACAACATATGTATAAATGAAATAATGGTATTTGAACTCAGATTCCATGTCGCATTTGGTAATAAACATTGCTTATTGAACTCTGTCTAAAAAATATTGCGTGTGCTGAGTTTGTCCATAAACAAAATTATTGAAGCAAAAAAAGAAACACAAGTCCCAGATTACTCAACAGGACAAATATATATAACAATGGACAACACTAAAATTCCTTTAAAGTAAGGCTTTATCTGTAGAACCTAGAGGAGAGATTTACAGGTGCTTTAGAATGGTTAGCATACGTGCTAAATAATAAATGATACTAAATACCGGAGCAACAAGAGTTTAAGTATTATTCCAATGATGATATGTTCGTTAGGTTGTAAATTGTTTTAAAACAGTAAGAGATAAAGACATCCATGTACATACAGACAGATACAGCATAGGAGTGAAAAACAGTCAGCATCAAATGGCCGCAAAATGGCATTACATCATTTCCTACTATACAACTTCATTGGTCATTCGAATATTATCCAGTATGATAAATGTTTAGAAACCTCGGGTGAAACTAGTGTGGAGCATATAGAATTCATCAACGATACCAGGATAACTATCAGTAACCGACTTTATTCCCATTTTTTGTGGGATAAATTTTCAACAATATTTTTGGTTTTATGTGTACTTTTTTCTTGCTGTTATTGTTTGTTCGTCTTTTGTCCACCGATCTTTGTGTTTTCTCTTTTTTCACTTTGATTTATTTCCGTCATGGTATCTTCTTTATATTTAAATGACAGTAAATTTGATTTGATTTGGTAATTGCATATAAACGCATCATAAATACCAGGCTAAAAATTTGTACGACAGACGTGCGTTTCGTCTATAAAAGACTCATTAGTGACGCTCCAATTAAAAAAAGTTAAAAATAAAGTATGGAGTTGAGGAGCATTGAGGACTCAAATTTCGAAAGGTTTTGCCAGGTACAGCTAAGGGAATATATTACTGGGGTACAAAATCTTTAGTGTTTATAAAAAGTCAAAGTTTTGTAAACCGTTAATTTATAGTTATGATCATATCAATGATAATCCATGTCAACACAGAAGTGCTAACTATTGGGCTGGTAATATTTAACTTTAAAAAACGAGGAGAGAAACAAAGAGACATTGTCGCTCTTGTAGGTTGTGTAGAAAAGATGATTTAGGTAGTTTACCTAATAACCAATAACCGTTGTTTATGTGGTAATAGTACACCTGTTCTAGTATAATCGTTGTAATGACAACTTGCACTAGCATACCTCATCACCTGGGATAACAAATGCCAAAGGCTTGTGTATATGATATACTACTGTTCTAGAATATAGAAATGCTAATAGGGAAAAGGAAAAGTGAGGCATCACTATTACCTTAGAATATATTTTTTAATTACCAGTCTGTATTAAATATTAGATGAAAAGATTTAGATACAAGGCATTGGCTCTTCACATAAACATCTTACCATTAAGTATTAATTAATTGAAAATGGTCATGACATACATTTTACGGTCACCATCATGAATTGATTGACCGATACGATGTGTCTGTTGGTCAACTCATAAGCGACATGTTTTCGCAGTCTAATATCTTTAGATATGAAAAACGTTGATATATATGGAATTCTTTGAGTTAAGTCTGCCTCATATCTTGACTTACATCTAGAAATTGACAATGAGGGTCGGTTGAAAAGAAAACTTTACGACAAAAGAAATGATTTCAGCTTCCCAATTGTGAACTTTCCATTTCTATGTAGCAACATTCCAGCAGCGCTTGCATACGGAGTATATATCTCCCAATTGATACGATATTCCCGGGCTTGTATTTCCTATCATGATTTCCTTGATAGAGGATTACTGCTCACAATTAAGGAAGCTATTAAACCAAGAGTTCCAAATGGTGAAGTTGAAATCATCCCTTCGTAAATTTTACGGACGCCATCACGAGTTGGTTGACCGTAATGGAATAACCGTTTCACAGATGATATCGGATATGTTCCTTATGTCGTAACTACAATGCCCTTCCCTTTTCACGAATGTGACCTACCGAATTAGAGTATTTACCGGATTTGTAATAACATAAGCAACACGACGAGTGCCACATGTGGAGCATGATCTGCTTACCCTTCCGGAGCACCTAAGATCACCCCCAGTTTTTGTTTGGGTTCGTGTTGCTTAGTCTTTAGTTTTCTATGTTGTGTCATCTGTACTTTTATTTGTCTATTTGTCTTTTTATTTTTGGCCATGGCGTTGTCAGTTTGTTTTCGATCTATGAGTTTGACTGTCCCTCTGGTATCGTTCGTCCCTCTTTTGAGGTAATAGTACTAATGTGATAGAAAAAAACGTTGTCATATATGGAATTCTTTGAGGTAATAGTACACCTGTGATCGAAAAAACGTTGTAATGACAACATGCACTGACATACCTCACCACATAAGATAACCATTGCCAAAGATTTTTCCATATGATATATTACTACTCTAGAATGGGGATATGAAAACAAGAAAAAATAAAAAATGAAGCATCCCTTTTACCTTAGAATGATTTTTTTAGTTACTAGTATGTTGCAGATTTTATGTAAAAAGACTTAGATACAAAGCCTTGACTCTTCAAAAAATCTGACCACAAGGTTTTACTTAAAATA